AAATAGCGGCAATTCGGTGTAAAGCAATTGTTCGTTTTTAGTTCGTTTGAATTTTCCCTCTTTTCCTCGCTTAACTTCGCTTTTAAATAGCTATCGAATTAGCGGTAATTCGGCGTCAATTGCTTGAATGCAACAACAAAATACAACGTCAAACTCACTTTAGCCTATATATAAAACATAGAACTTTTATTAACAAAACAAATAAAAATACACCATGCTATAGGGCAGGCTATGCCTAATATAAAATAACAAATAACTTACATAAAGTTTAAATAGGTAGCCTATACAAAACTGGAAATAAGTAAACATGTATAATATATAACCAAATAAATAAGAAACCTAGAACGTTTATTAGCTAAACGAATAATAAATTACACAAAGTTTAAATAAAGTAAAAATCAGCAAACACTGTGGAACCAATTAATAAATAAGAAACGAAAGTTTTAAAAAAAACTTCCAAAATCACTTTAGATAAACAGCAAAAGTCAACATGCTTTTCAAAATCCAAAATACTGCCAAATAGGCGCTTTTGCATTTCGTATCGAAACTAAATCATCCGCGATCGTCTTGTCTGTCTCATCCCACTCTTCTTGTCAGTCAGCTCGACTCACTCTCCTGACTGGAGGAACGAAATCTGATCTGTGATGCGACTGTCGTTCAACTGCATTGAGCATCCGCGTTCAGTTTTTAATTGTAGTGTCTGTTCTTTTACTGAACTAAATTATTTTTATTACTATAAAAAATCAAAACGACGGTGGGGGTCGGTGACGCGGTGGGCAAGTGACGTAACCGGTGTTGCGGCTTAACAACGGTATCACCGTCAGCACCGTCTATCGCGGCAAGCCTAACATTCTGCAACTTACATTTATCTTCTTTTCAATAATCTGTTTCACTCTGATGTACATCACAATGCCGAAGAAAAGATCTGTCACTACTTCAGTTTATCGTGACTTTAACAACAGTAAAGATAAAATAGAAAAACAGTTACTTTCAAGACACATCACGGTGACAAAATGTTTTACATGTTTCCTCTCATAAAGATATATTAGACAAATTCAAAAACTCACCTCAAGTGGGGCAGCATCTTTTGCGGTGATAACGGTCACTGATGCAAATATCAGTTGAGAAGTTTCATTGCTCTCAAGGAATTTTACACACCTGCAAACAGGACACAAAAGAGATGCGACTAAGCGCAAGAGCTTTAAAATAGTTAAATACTAAGAAAGCAAAGTGATCTATCCTATGTAGAAGTGATGTAGAAGTGAAACTACAAAATAATAAGCCACACATTCACTAGTCAATGGTGTTCTTTTATACAAAATAAAGGCTTGTGGGTTTGTCATTATTTTATATACATACTGTATTACAAAATTCATGATTGTGACAGATATAGCAATGTCCGTATCTTAAAATTCAGTCAACAACCGAAGCATAGAACCAAATCTGCTAAGGTTGTGACGGTGAGGAAATTTTCCCACCGGTTAATCGACGTGTGACAACACCGATAATACTGG